AAATTGAATATTACAAACAGAGAGGCATACAATAGTAATATACCGATCATATACTTCAACATATTTTCGCAGTGCTTTGGTCAAACGCGTGAAACTCCATACCGGCTCTGGAATTCGATACACGTCTGTCTCAGAAAAGATTATAAAAAACAAAGCAAACATTATTGTGGCAACGGATGGTATCATACGTTTAAGCCCAGATTATGTCCCACTTGCACGGATAAACTATTTTCCTCCTAGCGCGTTGTAGTGTCCAAATCCATACAATGCCCTTCTTCACACGCACGCATTAACGCACTAAAGAGATTTATTCGAAGGATTTGTTCTTGTCAGCTACGAGCGGCTGTACCGTGCGCTGATATAAATCTGTCAAAGTCTGATAACAGTTATTTTTTTTTAATACATAATAAATACACTAATTAATAAATAAGTTGTTAAAATTAGCCTAACACAAATTACCTACATTGGTTAGCAAAAAGCAACCTTACTCGTCGGATAATTGTTTAAAAAATAAATTATAAGTATAGAAAATAATAATTACCTACCTTACAACGTTTATAATGTTTATTTCTTAGACGATTTTTCCTAGTTATAATTTAACAGAATTAATACATTGTCGTGAAAATTATTAATATACTAATTTTCAAAAATATTTATTATATTAGATAAAACAGATTGCAGTTAAACGCCTGGATGCGAATCTGTAAATTATAATACAATTTTAAATAGATACAGATAAAAATGATACCTTCAATGGTGATGTTTGTTGAAAATTTAGCAAGTATAATAAAATAAAAAATATTAATAAATATTTTATTGTTATTCATTTGTTTGTGAAAATAATTTTTCTTAACTCATCATTTCATAGTAACATCATAAGATAATGTGTATTTTTTAAATTCTTATTATATTTTTGCACTCTGATAATAATAGTATGTATAAATGCATGATGTTGACCACAAATCGTACTAGTTACCATATAATAAAATATGTCATCAAATACACGCAAATGTTATTAATACGTATACAACTAACCACATTTTTTAATTACGTTGCCACTCATATAACACATTGATAGCTTACAACATTATAATATGTATATTTATAACTGAACATTGAGAAAAAATATTTGAAATGTTCATTTAATATCCCGTCGAACAACTGCGGTTAGATCGGTTCAAAAGTTATAGAAAATAGGATTCATAGCATTTTGCGTTTCGTAAAAAAGTTTGATTACACTTTAAATTATTACAACGAGGAATCTGATCAACTTTTAATAATTAATATATTTTTAAATATGTATGACGACAAATTTAAACGTTTCATTAAGGACAAGGTACAATTTACATCGGATTTTGAAGATTTGTTGATGATTCCTATGTGAGAGTTTTCAGAAAGCTCTTTCGACGACATCTTCGGCCTTACCTTTAAATGGAAAAATATATACGATATATTACTCGAAAAGGATATTAAAAACATCAAAAATCAATACAATAAGTTTGAATGTACAGCAGAAACTTTTAAACACAAGAAATAACTTTGGATGTCTCCAAGGCAAAATTTTACGGTTATATCTGGGTAAATTTAGCTATCAAAAAATAGTCGCATCACACTGCCGCGCAAATTTTGGCCACAAAAAACATTAACTGACATAGCGGCAATGTGGACTAGTCTTCGACGCGACTATGAAGGTTTTATACATCAAGTAAATATGGTAATATATAATGCTTATATTGATGACCAATTCTTTAACGAAGTACTAATTTTATCGAACGGAATATATAAGCCCGATGACAAGATCAAATCGATATAAAACTTATAATCGATTTTATGAAAAGTCTGTAATCAGTTCTACCGGCTTCAAAATAGCAATTGCGAAATCAAACTTAAAACTTTCTTGAAAGTATCAAGTAAAAAATGATATACTATATAATGTAAAGATTATAAAATATTAGTCAAGGACATATTATCAAAACATCAAAACACCCTCATACAGTTAGCCTTAGCACTTTATCAGACATTAATTAAACCTATCCAACAAATTTGTTGGTAGCTTGCTGGACATTGTTGGAGAAAAACAAAATTTTTTTGGACTTTATTTTCGCCACTAGAGCTTATTTTAAGTTTGTGCTGCTAACATTACGCTAACAGCACAACTTTTTGCTGGCGAGTTTTTTGTTGACGAAAAACTACTGAAAACTACGAAAAGCTATTGTACTTGACTTTTAGGAGTATTTTCGAAAATTGTTGGACCTTATTTTTGCCACTAGACCTAGAGCTTTTTTAAAAGATTGCGCTGCTAACTTTACGCTAACTGTACCCTTACCTGCATTACAGTCACCACAAACAACATTAACAGAAAATCCATTAAAACCGCGGTTTGTTCCAGGCAGGCAACTGTCTGGGGGGAAAATGGCCACCTGCACCTCTCTCTGGAGCCAACTTGTTTAGTAGCGTTAGGTCGGTAGCCAGCTATAAGCCCAAAAATGCCAAATTAAAACCATCCAAGCCCCGATCGATGGGAATAACTGACGTTAAACTAAGAGAGAGAGAGTAAAAAAATAAAAATACATTCTTATTTGTTTATCACCGATGTTTACAAATCCAATTGACCCTTATTGAAATACATATATAAGTTTTATATATTTTTTTATTTTAATGTTAGTCATCGTGGCGGAATTAATATTCAACCGGTTCAACTCATTAAATCCTTCGCTCGACCACAAAGCGGAAGATCAAATTTGCTTTCCTTTGTACAACCGCTATGTATGGTCTACTCTTTGACCTGAAACGTTCCACATGACATATTTGTTAGTACAGAACTGATAGACTGTAGACATTCACTTTATAGGAAAATACAACATACTTACTGGTGTGGCTTCAACAGCTAACAACCCGCACTAATAATATATACCTACCTTATATATAGCAATATTTTAATCTGGTTAAGAACTATTAGTTTGAGTTATTCGCAATTAAAGAATATAGATTTATAGAAGATAATATAAAAATAGATTTTACATATTTTTGGAATTGATAAACACCTCATTATATTTGTTTAAACCTTGATATCAGCGATTTTTTTACGTTTTAGTTAGGTCCATATAAAGTGTTATCTAATAACTTTTTTATTAAAATACTTGATTATTATTTTTTTGGTGTGTGACTAATAAAGCAATCTGGTAGGTATTTTGAATGCTGAGAGGCACGTGTTCTTACCTTTTATTTTAGTTGAATTTTTTTCTAATTTTAACTGTACTATGAAACACGCAATTCAACAATAGTTTTGAAAACGTGTATAGATTTTTCAATACTTGCTTCATGTATCGATTGAAGTACGTTTTTAAAACTGTTCATATTATTAATATGTGAAATTATAACTCAAATAAACATAATTTTAAAATTGTGCTTTGATTGATACATTGTAAATATTATAAAAAATTTAATTGTTTTTTCAAAACTCAAATCTGAGCCCTATACTAAGGAATTACGTACTGTTTGAAAATAAACATACTGTGTTTTTCACAAAAAGACAAATTGAAAAAATTAAATATTAAAATAGATAGCTCTTTAGTCTTTTCTGTGTTAAATATATATGTTTACCAAATTTTTAGCGAAAAATTGCCTATTCAATGCGCCTCAATAAATTATAGTGTAGACTTTAGGCATCCTAGGCCCACTGTGCTTGATTTAAAAAATGATTTGATGTTTATTTAGATGTGTTTATATACAAAACTTAATTCTACCCATGATGTTTGAACATTGTTTATATATTGATATCTGAATAACACATACATGTACGAAATCATTTTTGATTCAATATTATAGTTTTTATCCAATTTTTGCTATTGCATATTATGTATACAGCTACAGCGTACTATAAAATAAAAACAGGCCAATGCAGGTGTCAGTCAAGTGATTAATGTCGTTTTTACAATATACGAGTATCACTATGACAGTTGGTATTTGTTCAGTTACTTGATTCATTTTCAATACTCTTTAAATCAGTTCAGGGCGTTTTTCGTAACCATTACAAAAGATTTCGTCGTTCGTTTTACAGACTATTTTCACGGGCAAAACAACAAATGCTACCACGTGTTATTGACATGGCTGGTATCACAGTGCTGACGTCATTATAGAGGAGGATTATGGAGGGATTATGGAAGAGGAAAATGTTATGAAAATAATGTTAAGAGTATACAAACTTTATGCAGATACATCAAATTGCAGGATATATAAGGATATAACAATATAACGATATATAAAAGGATAGTCAAATGAATTTGTTAAGTAGGTACTTCTTACTGGCGAACCACGGAAATTGATTTATAAGAAATGTTAAATATTGATAAATGTTGCCATTAAATCGATTAAGGCTAGATATTATAGAACTACTAAAAAACGTTTGTCAGAACATATAATTAAGACTATACTATCGTCATATATCGCAAGGAGATTACAATTTGGAAATCAAGGGCGGATACAGGGGGGGGGGGCAATGTTCACAAAAAAGGTATCAAATATTCCATTTGTAAGTAATTGTGACTAAAATTGATTTAAATTTTAATTATGTTTTTCATTTAAAAATTAAAAGTAGGTATATTCTAAAACAACAAGTTCCATCACATTCACCAGCATGACTGATTTCTGTACACAACTAATTTTTATGTCGACTAATAATAAGACAATTCCTATCAATTTATTTTCTATTGCCCCCCCCCCCCCCCGTTTAAGACCTCTGTATCCGCCCTTGTCGGAAATAAGCATATAATTATCAGGACATATTCATGTATTGATGTATCTGCATGAAGTGTGAGTACTCTTAACTGAGTTTACTTTTGTTTTCATATTATCTTGCTAACTATTTTCCACCGCACCAATAGATGAGGAGAGGTCGTGTATAATTTGTATGGCACTAGTTCAATAGTTTTTCTATTTAATGACAAACACCAGGATTAGAGGGTAAACGGGCTTTTATTTATTTTTATATTTTACTTCACACAAATCGGACAATATGCGTAAAATGTACGGTGAATAAAGTACTTAATACATTTTAACAATGAACAAGGAAACTTGTGTTCAATCAAAAGGGTGGTGTGATGCACCTCGGCTCTTGGATGATAGCTGTTGATGAAGTTCTTTGCCAATTTTCTACTTCACTTTCCCCATTTCTGGAAGAATCCCATCCGTTGGCACTTGCAGTTGGCGCCCCACAAGTTGCACCGACACGAACCGTTGTCGCAACAGTTTTTGGGTCTATGGTCACAGTTTCCGCCTCTTGGCACGCACGACTTACGGTATTTGTACACCGACGATTTCCTAAGTACACATATGAAAATGGATAAATGTTTTTTATAGGAATCGAAGGACCAATAATATAGTAGAACACAGTGAAAACTGATTTGATCGACACAGTCGGATATTCGAAATAAACTATAGACTAAGCGACGCGACAAACTCGATTGTCTTGTAGAATGTATTTTTTTGCGTACAATCAAACCTTAACCATTTTGCGTGTATTTGAGTACTCAATGTATCGATGAGATTGAGTGAGCTCTTCTAACTCAACTAGTAACTATCACAATAATATGTATTAAGCCTACTCATAACGTTACATAAAACAATAATATTATAATGAATGCCCTTGATATCATTATTTTTTTTTTACAAATAGAGATACTAGGTTCTTTCATCATTTGTTTTAACTTTTTTTATTTGGAAAATTGTAGACATCTTTTTACGCAGGCGATGGTTGGGTTAACGAGAAGAGTTCGCTTGAAAACATGCACTAACCTCTTTTGCAATGCAGGATAAATGTATTCCACGTCGTTTCTCATTTCCTTGTCTGCGTAATCATCCACCACGTACATAGTGCCGCCGTCGTCAGTAACTAAAAATCAGATCACGATCACATTATACTTATAGATAGTAATCGACTTACTAGGCAACACATCACCGATAAAATGTACATAGCTAAGTCCGATTTTTATTTTATATAAAAACCTCTGTTATCGGCCACACGAAAAAATAAGAAAACAGGTTATAGAAACTCGAAAAAATGATAATATAAAATATTACTGTTTTTTAGGAACATTATATCCATTTTATCATGTCTATAATAACAGTCAAAGCATCTATAAAGTTCTTTCGTGACACTCGAGAGCACTATTTAGTTGTGCGATTTGTAGACTACAGTTTACTTTTAAAATTATTCTTAATCTGGCAACTCTTTCTGAAATTATATACCTATGCGTTATAATATAATATCTTTAATGTCCTGGTATCGAGTTTGGCTTCACATATTTGATATCACACAGTTATGTTTGAACTTGAACTATATTTATCTGTTACGTACAGTTGTTGTAATATTATCATCAATTTAGTATTTAGGATTTCATTTCAGACGTCTAAAACGTAAGTGGTGCCGTGATTTTCTATCTAATAATATCAATTAATATTAATACATAATTAGACCAATGTAAATATAAGTTTAAAAATTTAAAAAAATCATTGGAAGTATCACTAATGAGTGGTTTCTTCCATCAAAATGAATTCATGTAATTTATCTCTATTTTTATCATATATGCTTATTGTGCTCATTGTACAGATTGTATATTTCTGATGTAAAATAAAAAAAAAAGGATTTCATTTTAGCGTATATTGCTATAATGCTATGAATTTTTAATAGAAATTTAAAAGTTATAGAAACAAAAGAGAAAAAAACTATTATTGTTCTTTTAGAAGAATGCATAAATTTTAATATTTTCTTATTACTAGAAAAGTTATGGCTGTTTAAAATAGATAATATTGTTTGTATATGTTAAAACTTAAATATAAAGCCATGTATGTTGTTTAAAAAACGTCATTGCCTACAAAATGTTGTTCATTTTTGATTTCATAATACTTGAAATCTAGAATCAACCTTACAATCGATATATATATATACTTTGGTTTTAGCTTTAAATTACAATTTTTCCTATAATGAACCTCTTAATAAAAAGGGGCTTTAACGTCTTCGTCGATTTTATTGCTTAAATATTTTAAGGACAAAATCTAAATTGTATGTCAAAGTCGCAGTACGATGTTTAAAATTAATCACGATAATGAAGTTTTCGGTATTATGTGTTTAATTACCTACTCAAAAATATTTAATTTTTCTAAAAATAAGTGTCAAAAAGAGTAAGTTAGGTCAGTTATTTATTTTTTACTCGCAAGTTGTATGTCCCGACTCCCGGATTATCATAGTTTGTTTTATTCCAAGATACTTGTTTGAGATATGTTTACTAATTAGGAAAATTCAAAACGCTACTACTGAGATAATACTATTTTTAGAATTACATGTACTTACTAATGACTTCATCTTCAGAGTAGCTGTCTAATGGAGATGCCATTGATAAAGTGCTTAGCAATAAGAGAAAGGTGTTGAGCACCACAAACGTTGCGACGTACAGTTTCATTTTCCCAGTATTTTGATCAATCTGAAAGTCAAAAAAAATAATGTTAATTGACAGCGTTATGCTTGAGGTGGTTTATCAGTGCTTTAAAACTAGTTCTCATAGAAATAATATTGTCCATGCGTACTACTGGATATGCTTTAAGCACATGGCATAATTGTAGAATCTGTTTTTGTGTTTTCCATTCAGTGGACATTAGAAAAATTCCTAAATAAAATGTATGTACACTGCACTTCCAAATATCATCCTAAAGAAATTCATTAATAGTTTATACACACTACAGTGTACAGCGTCGCTTTGTTTAGAATATTAAACGGGACATTACCATTTGTTTTGTTATTATTTAGGGCAGTTTTGTCGTTGTCACACAACAAATTAGCATGATGTTCGTGCGAACCCACTTTAACTGTTAAATAACATGGAGTTGTACGTTTTGAACCTACACCCTCACTTATATATTTATATATATATCCCTTGTGTTATAAATCTACATGTTAAACGACATAATTTTGTGAAAACTCACATTTAACGTACCGGTTTTAAATAATTATAATGATGGATAGACCTATCATGAGAACGACACAGTTCAAATAAAACTCGATTTAATCATACACTTTCTCACGAACCTAAGTATTGTTCAAACATAATGAACAGTAATTTTTAAATTCCTCTTAAGTTAAATAGAAAATACATTTATCAATCTGTGCGCAGACAACTTAAACTATTTGGTGATACCAAGGGAATTTTTTTGAGAAATCGAGTTATGACGCACACGACGAAAAAAACAACAAAATTGAATTAACATTATTATATAAATAAATAATTAGGTATATATTATAATAAAACCATTTTATTCATATAAAAAAATAAAAATTATTACTTTGATATAAATTGTATTAATTGATAATTAATTATAAATGTAATTATTTAAATTTTTATGTTTTATTTTTGATACATTTATTATTGATATTTGATACAATATATTTTTCGATTGTCGTGATAAAATCTTTGTTACAATAACAATACATTATTATACTGATTATATGTATGACATCAAAAGCAATAAAGTATTTATTAAATAAGTCTACACTTTTATCGAATATAACGTTATATTTTTTCATTGAGTGCAAAAATTAAGATCTTTACTACTTCAGGAGATGTCAAATGCCACCTTTATAACATGGAATAACGAGGTAATACAAAGTAAAATTTTAAAACATATTTTAAAAATGCATTTTAAACACCTTTGCGCTAAAAAATCGATATAAGATACAGGTTTTTCAGAATTTCATGAAACAGTATATTTTTTTACTATATAACTGTATTAGTTAAAAAGTAAGAAAATGTAGAAAGAATTGAGTAAGAAAAACTCAATAAGTGTAAAGGTTAGTGCTTTTAGTAATTTTTATCTGCGCGCATTACTCTCTTCTTCTCTTAAGAGTTTATTTATATTTTTAATTGGTTAAAACTTGTTTGGTTGTTTGAAATATCATTAGGCTTTTTGGTTACACCTATATATATTTAGTATTAAACATAGATAATAAACCAAAATAATTTTTGTTTGATTTTTTATTATTTAGTATTTTTTAATATTAAATAAGAAAAATGTAAGTATTGTAAAACAGTTTTAATTGGTAAATAAATACAAATAAAATGTCTACGAATATATGACGCTGGGTTAAATAACTTAACCCAGTAGTTTAGGATTTTACATAATTGATTAATAAAAAGAGGTTGTAGTGAAAAAAAATTATAGTACTATAGTAGACACCTATAAATTGTATTGTTTTAACAAGGATTGGTATTCTTGTTAAAACATGGCCGTATTGATAGGGGGGAGGGGGGTCCGGGTTCAAACCCCCCCCCCCAAAAAAATTTCATCAAAAAATATTTGTATTACCTATCCTTTATGTCTTTTGTTCCATTTTTTTTTAAGTATTCCAGAAAATGATGTAAAAATAAGAAAAATATTATGATGTAAGTTTTCTTTTAACTTTAAAGCCTAAAATTAAATTAAATAATAATAAATACGTGATATTATCGTTATCGCCTGCTTAGGCTTATGGACACGCCAATGAATTTTAGTTTTTTTCTAATTTCGTTGTTGTACCTTATTGGAAGACGTCAATAATGTTTATATTCATATATAGAATCGATTTAACCCTGTATATAAATAAAAGCATGAGTTGTGTCGATAAACTAATAGTCATTATCAGCGTCGGCGACAACGACAGGACACCGTTATCGTTTACTGGAAAGATCTGTTATTTCAACCTGCTAAAATAGTCAAAACAAAAATACAAATATACCATTGTAAAGTAGAGATTCCAACGAATAAAAAGGCACCTAAAAAACGTAATAGTGAATTGATAACCGAGATAGAAATTGGTCCGTAAAGATACATTCTTACACCTCACATTTATCGACTACGCGATAGATATATATATATATATATATATACACCTAAAAACTGATATGGTTCTATTTAATAAATATCCTAAATATTATATACTAGTTTTATCTTAAAATAAACCCCCCTACCCAAAAAAAAATTAGTGCTGGTTACAGCCATGTGTTAAAATAGCGGCATGTTTGCAGCAAGTGTATGAATGGTAGTAGATCGCTCTAACAGCAATGATGTGATCAAAATGTATACAGTTTTGAATACTGCGAACTACGCTTAACTTTTTTCCCTATAGAATATCAACAGAATTCAGTTGAGTGACGTTAAATGTGGGTGTGTGAGTCATCTTTTACTCCTATAGAAAGACATAGTGTAAACGTGCACGACATATTCACAATAATGTGTACTGTGATAATTCAACAGGAAAAAGTATTTAACACGCGTTTATTAAAATTATGTCAATGCACACATTTATTATGTTGAGAAATTAAGTTATGTACAGGATATCCACAAGAATTTGACTTTAAAAAAAATTGTTTTTTCTATTTGTTTTTAAAAATAAAACATTTTTTGTCTATAGTCAAACGATTTTTTTAAAAATATAAATTTCATTAGGCCATATTGCAATAAGGTCAAATATTCGTGGGACACAATAAATTACTATACAATATATAAATAACTAAAAGCTTTTTATACAATGTGAATAAATATTGGAAGCTAAAGGTTAAAAATCACACTTTTAGTGGACATATTAATTTTAATTCATACATGAAATAATTATATACTCCGAAAACGGTTCCTACAGTATTATAATATATGTTAAATTAAATTGTCACGCGTATTGTGCCTTATGCTCCCGAACTGAAATTTTTTTCTAAAACTATAACTGAAAATGAAATTATTTTACATAGGTATTAGAAATGTAAAATATTATTTTATTTCATTACCATATAGAATTATTAATTTTAATAAAGCATAAATTTGATAATTTAAAATGGGTATAATAGGTTGGGTATCAATTCGGCAAAACTTTTTATTTAACAAAAGAACGTGTCTTACCTGTTTTTAAGAAGCTGGCCGCACTTAGATTTCGAGACTTGCGTACGCTATCTGAGTGTGGTCTAACCGACGGTATTTCGTCCCTTATATAAGCTATCACCAATGAAAGGGCGAAGGGTGGAAAAATTGCTTGACAACTCGATGGTCTTGAGCGCAAACTCCTATGCTTACAAACATTAGAACTTGCTGGTGCTAAGAGGCTTTTATTGAAATATTAAAGAACACATAAATGTTAGATTATGCACAATTTAGAATTTACACCAAAGTAATTAGTACTGCTTTCTATATTCAAATTGTTAATTTGATAAATAACTAACTCCCAAGCATCTACTTCTTTCTATATATATGTGAGTTACAGATGTAGACCAGTTATAATTGAATGCCAAGAAACCAAGAATAATGTTCGGTATTATTTATAACCGATACTTTTATAGATGTAATTTTATGTTCAAAATTACAACATTTAAAAAACATATATATATTGTGGATTTAGTATACTGTTTATGTACATGTTATCTTAAGAATTTTATGGGCCACCTTAAAAATTGTTTTTAGTTTTTGTCATACAATAATATTTTATGGTGATTGTATTTTTTTCTCTTAGGTAACACGATTTTAAGGAGTTCTTTTAAAACTCAAATGGCAAACCATTTATGTAATTAGATTTGCATGTCAATTTTGAATTTATTGATGAACAATACTTTATGTATTGTTTACCAAATAAAATTATTAATTTCCTGAAATTTGTTTTAATTTTTAAAATAAACAGTTTGTTTTACAGACCATGTTTAAAAACAATGGTAAGTAAATACTCGACTAAATGTATATGGTTCCATTTGACTTTAAAAGTGACCCCCCCCCCCTCAAAAAAAACTTTAAATTACTTGTTTGATAAAAACCAAAAATAATATTTATAGGTAACTTTTTTATAATATTAGAATATAATACAAAAATCAATTACTATGAAATTCTGATAAGATAACATTATATACCCTATAAAAGCAATATACTTAATCTAAGTCGTTCAATTATATTTATCGTGCAAACAATAGTAATTATATATTAAATCGGTAGTAACAATTATCATTTGATTGAAAATTTTGTAAGAGTAAAATGCGATAACGAACAGTATTTTTTTGCGCTCTTTTATAGTATTTTCGTTTTAACAACCCAACACAACACATTACTGACAATCTACTAATAATATTTTATTACTACAATAATCATTAAGTTCATTAAAACAATAGGATAATAGACTTACAAAAAATACACTTAAAATACACCACAATAACCGTTTTTATTATAAATACACGTTTATGTGTACGGGTTATTTTCTGGGGCCGGAAGTTTAGTTTATAATTAATTTTTCACTACAACCGCAAGTTCTTTATAAGTTTCCATTGTATTTTTAATTAATTTACCTGGCCAAAACCAAAACTAAAAGGTACATATTATAAATGCATTAAATTTCTTCAAATTGCGTTTTACATACATTTTTTAAATACAAATGTTTATTTTTTTTTTTTTTTTATTGCGAACAAATCTGTTTTATAATATTACACATTTCACTACTTTAACTTTGATTTTTGATAGTCATCAGTACTTACCAAACAAACGATAGTAAAGTTTTGGTATTTATTAATGAATTATGTAAGTTTTGATCAAGGAGAATCTAAGCTATTGTTTGCTTGAATAACACGTTATATCCCTTTGCAAATGATCAGATAGCGATTTGCGAGGCTGCAACGGGATTATAATTAAACATTTGATAGTTTGTGGTGACAAGTTGAACTTTATAGCCGATACCGTTTAATTTTATAAAATGTGTGTAAAGTGTAAACAAATATATTACACTAAACATTACATCTCGATGCTTTTCTGTTTTAAATGTCAGCAATATTCTTTGCGTTGTACCGTCTTTTGTGCAGTTAAAAATACTATTTTTTATAATCATTTATAATTTATTTCAAGTAGAATTTTGAGCCTTATTGCGTTAATATCTCACCGTGACTTAATTATATTATTATGGTTTATTAAAACTTAAATATAACTAATAAAATGTATTAACTAACCAAAAATAGTCAATTCTATAGAATGAGGAAATACAAATAAATAAAGGTACATTTAAAATATACTTTTTAAATAAACCTAAGAATTACACTCAGGTTATCATGAGATTGCACAAGTGGCTTCATGTATGTATATAATATTATATATTTATATATTTATATTTTATTGGTAATTTCTTTAAAATAAAATACATCTTCACAGTTAAATGTATACAAGACATGCCAGTTATAGGTATATGTATAACATATAGCACACTAAATTAACTAAATAAATTAAAAGTACAATAAATACTAGACATTTTAACAGTATAAACATTTTATTAAAAAAATAAATTTAAAAAATGTTTAAAAAGTAATGAAACTTAGCTTAAGAAACGAAAAATGTTATAGTCTATTAATTATCGAGGCACAATTCTGTAGATAGGAAAATATGAAGGTAGTAATGAGGTATTAAATTATGCTAATTGCAAACATTGTGAAGGATTTCTGTCTTGACCTAGTGGTCTGAGCAATGAAAAAGAACATGAGAGGTGTTACATTTGAATAATTTAAGGTAACATGCGGAATTGATAATATAGAATTTATAACCATAGATAGATGAAAGGAATGGGGCATGTGAACTATATTATAACCCATGCGAAGGAACGAATAAGCAATTTATATATTATGAAAATTAAAACGAATTATCATGACATTCCAAAGTCGTGAAATAATTTGAAGAGATATCAATTAGTAAAATCTAGCAAAAAAAATAATTTTATGAAAGTGGTTATACTCAAATAGTTGCTTAGATCATAAAGAACCTAACTTTTCTTTATGAAACCAATTTTTTTGTATACTATTCAGCTAACCACCACGTGGTATCTTCTAAATTACGCTAATCGGCTGAACCTACTGAATTATTCAAATACACCCTTTTTAGTAAAGACCTAATTCACCACGTACCATTTTTAAGGTGGGACTCGATTTACCCAAAACAAAAAGGAAATTGGGCTGAGTTAATCAATTACTATGCATAGATATTAAAAAACAATTTTTATTCATGACAACTTATTTTCAAGTAATTCAACTTAGTTGTTTACTTGTATAACTTCTTATATTAATTATAGTAATTTTAGTGGTATTAAATGTATTTACGCGAATGGAGTTTAAAAAAAACACTATTAAATCCGATTATTCTACATTACCCTTTCACCATTACACTATTCTGTGTACTTACAACAAATTATTAAGGATTTTTGAACTGTGGAATTTTGATTTTAGCTAATGCAACAATATTATATAAACAGAATATTACTAAGTTCGATTAAGTGAAGTCTGCGGTAATCATTAATTCCGTTTTAGAACTTTGAGTAATCTTTTATAAAAGAAATAAGTGAATTTAGAACTTTTTTCTCACCCGATACCATAGAAATAAAATGCCACAGTCAAAATATATATAATAATACAGAATACTAAGTAATTTATCATAGTTTAACAATGATGTATAGTACACATAATTGTTGGGTAATACTTTGCCACTTTGATCATTACCTCCTTACAAGTCTGCTTCATCCCCAGTTCAGCAAGTTGTATACAATATTACAATTAACAGTTTACCAAATTCCGCCACCGCTATAATATTATGTTTGGATTCTAAAGTGTAGTACGTAAGTAGTCTAGGTACTACTCTTACAGTTACATACTTAGATTAGAATAGGTGTTGCAATATTTCACTATTGTTTATTCCCAACACATTTACTTTAATCTGTTCTCGAACGAGTGGAGCGAAGCCGATCTCATCGATTCTGTCGGTCTCCTCCAATCACGGCCGTTATTTATCGGATTCGGATTGTACATTACAACCGGCATCTGAACCCTGGCCATTTGTCTGGTGCACGTATCAACGTCAACATAAACCCAATCTTTTATGAATTTATTCCAAGCTATCAGTAACATGCACGAGACCAGTAGGAAATAAAACAACACCACGTACGGTATGCTGCCGTGCTGCTTGGCGTTGCCGATGAAGTACTTACATCCAGTGAATAAGCCAGCACAAAAACAGACGTACACGAATATTCCTACAATACGTTTCAGAGTGATAATCGGCTAAAAAGATTAGAAAAAACAATTATTATGATTTGAGTAAATAGTAAACGGACGAATTAAAGTACCAGTTATAACTAAATTTGCCCTTGCGAATACAAACCTGTCAGTGTCGACTGACCGAAACAAATTTCAATTCCCCAACATTTTTCTAATAAACTAAAATAGTATTCCTTCGCTTACTCAGTTTGTACAAAACAATTCCTTACATTTAATTTATTTAATTGGATGAACGAATGGCAACCGCCTAGAATAAACACAGTTGTGCATCAAAATGGCATAACCGAGACGCCGTTATATTTATAAAACCAGTTGTATAAATAGTTTTTTTATTTAGTAACAACAATTCAAATCGGTTAATCTTAAAAGAAACTTCAATCAACTTGGTGATGAGAAATTGATTTTTATCTCTAAATAATTTATTATATTAAATTTACTAAGAAAATTAACCATCAGTGCTGTATATACACAAATCATTTTTTGGCATTATAAAAACAAATTCTACTTAAATGACAAATATATTTTTAAGTATATTTTACTTTCTATTCTCACTTCTAAAAAAAAAAAACAGCCTCCGTTTTGTAGTGTTTAAAATCAACGCCTTATACCAAAATAAGCACTTTGGAAAAATAAACATAACTAAGTAAACTAGTAGATACTCACTTTTTTTAAAATCTTCTCACTTTACTTCGTGTTTATTAAACATAACCTTTCTAAGCTACTGAAAACATTTTATTAAAATTAGATAAATGTACAAACTATTAGTTACTTCATAAATTATAAATTGACGTTAACTAAAAAAACTACATACATTATTTCAATGACTAATAAATATTTTAAAATAAATTTAATATCTAGATATTTTTCTAGTGTATGATATGTACTTACTAGAAAAAAAATAAAGATTTATGGTTAGCGAGTGATTGATGAGACTCTTTATATAAAACGACATATGAGAGTACTTAATTTCATTTTAAATGTTATTTACGTCCGTATTTGCGAAATAAAAATAAAAATCTAATAGGTAGTAGTGAAATAAAATCAAAATATTTTTTAAAGTTTACAGATTTTAATGTGTTGCAATATCAGCACTGATCTTAGCTTAACTATTTAAAGGGCTTACTAAATAATAAGAAAGAAAAAAACTAAAACGTTTAAACAAATTTAATATTATTTTTACCATTTTATGTAATATAAAATAGACTCCAAATAATATATAATGCATTATTAAAAAATATATATTAGATTTAGGAACATTTTAATTTTAAAATTTTATATTAGGTATAAGTTATAGGCATATACTTTGTATATGTATATACATACAAAAATTAGGGGCATGCTAAATTACTGTGTTACACTATAAAAAATAAATAATATAACAAATATAAGCTGCATTTTTGTTATCGTTTTGTTTCTAAAATCATATATAAAAATATTGGGGTTGTATTGTATACAAATGTTATTAATTAAGTCTTGATGTATATTATTCTTTAATATTTAAATTGCAAATAAAATTAATTTTATAATTCTTCTCCAGAAAAGCTAAATATATAAATATATGTATCCTTCGGCTCAAAGTTAAAAAAAAATGTATTAACCTGAAATGTTTCCTTTTATAAGTACTTAAAGAGATTTAAATTATGATAACGTTATTTTCAGTTAACATTTATTTGGAAATTATTATTTAAAATCGACCAAAATAACTGTAAAGGGAGTAATTTAATGTTGGAACAATTGTTTTGTTTCATAATTTTATACTTAAAATTTAAATTTAAATATTTGAGTTGTTGCAGTTTATGCGAACTGGAACATTTATATCATAAACGATATGAGTTTACACAGTTTTTATAACTCAGAATTCTTTAAAACTTCACGGATCAGTTTTATTTTTCTATAATTTAATATTAATTTATGATATAAAATCTACAAAATAATGAAATTACAAAAACATATGTAAATATATATATTTTTTTAAATGTAGTTTCAATTGTATAATTAAAAAATTAATTTAAAAGAGTATACTATGTATTTTGAGAAATTTTAAAAACACTCTATTTAGTGTAGATACAATGTTCAAAATGTAAACCGTAGGTTTTTTTCACTTAGGTTGAAACTCGGATGGAAGTTGAGCTCTTGAAGTTCTATGTTATTTCCATCGCGATCTGTCGAAGACGACACTTGTTGTTTGGTCACGTCAAAATGCACAGGGATCATAGCACGTTGATGTTTATTTTTGTGACTAACATATCGCAAGCAACGTGAAATCGATCCAAACATCTAAAATAAAGAAAAACAAATACTGTGGTAACTCAATATCAGGATTTCATAAGTATATATGTATACAAATATTTATTTTATAAAAATAAGTAGAAAATGTACATGTATGTTAATACAGACTTTACACCGTGAACGCGTTTTTTCCTCGTTAAAATGACAATATACGTATATAATGGCAAAATGTATGATATTGATGTTAAATCAACACGTTAAGAGTTACAAACAAAACATCAAATTAACACATTAAAGTTATTATTCAAAGATAAATATTATGCTAACATTAACGTATTGAGCACGATAAAAGATAAAATGTATCCTTAATCGTGGTAATGACAAATGAGATCAAACAACAAGAATTGTAGTATTGTTCATTATGGTGACTTGTTGCTTACATTTTTCTTCTTATCTAAGTTCAATTCGAAGTCGTCATTTTTAATAAAAGAATAAAAAATGTTTAATTATGAAGTTAAACAAAATAAGATAATTCTGTGGTATTGATGCGATGAAGGAGCAAAATAATTCTTATAAAAGATGATTCATATTAAATTCAGTGGCAAACTAATGTTTTCAAATTATTACTCCTGGAAGACTACATAATATCATAGTGACAAAACTAAAAAACATTACTTAAGGAAATATGAAATTAAAATATAATGTTTGCCTTACAGCGTTGAACCTAGAAGTAATAATGCCATATCAAAAACATACAAATATAGGAGAACAAAAAACACCATATTACAGTACATGTGTTCAACATAGGCCGCAAGCCGACCAACGTTATTTTTGTTCATATTTCAGATTATTGATTAAAAGTTTTAACTTTTAACTTTGAATTACAATCTACAATCTACAGTATCAGTAATTAAAATTGTTTTATTTTTATATTTTAATTTGCGACCTATATAAACGATTACAGAATAATTGATAATGACTCAACATTTGATTATTTTTGCCATTTTTTTTCAAAAGTTCGGTGTATTTATTACAAGTCAGAACTGCACAAAAATTCTATACTTATATTACACTGTACCTATACTAAAAAAACGTAATTTAATTTATTTAAAAGTCACATTTTTAGTCGTTAAAAACCATGCATTTAGCGATATACAAAAAAGACATGCTTCACTGTAACAAAAAACGGCAAGACGTCATAAAAAACGTGCACATTTGTTTAAATAAACATACTTCATGACAAATAAAACAAACTGACACAGATTGTTATGAATGTAGTGTACCTTTGAGCAACAGCCAAACGATGCAAAACATAGTGACATTATGTGTGGAAAAGCCACCATTGTCCAGTAAATGAAAAAATTTGACGGTTCGGAGAAGTCGCCAAAGGTTTTTTTAAATATGTGACTGGCGGGAAGCAGAAGCAAAATGATGGCCAACCCTTGCGCCAACAAATACGTGAACCCGATCCACGTTATTTTTTCACAGTAATCCAGAATACCCTAAAAACGATTACATATATTCAAAACAATTAATTCGAAGACACCCTTTCCCTCCCCCCAAACAAAACGACGATGCGTCGGTCACTGCCCTAAACGTTGTAAAACCACAAAATCGTTGGAATAACAGCTGTATGTTGTCCTACACTATCGATTATGTACTAACTGATAAACCGGTTGTTGATACACTTTACTGCTATGAATAACAAAATACAAATTACTAATTGAAATGGACGACAACGATCATCGTCCAAGTCCAACCATTTATAAGTTTTGAATAGTCCGCTAAAAATATGTTTCAAATATATCGATGATATTAAATATTGTTCAGATTATAAAAAAAAAGAAACAAATAACGTATTAATAGAGTAATAAGTCATAGCCCAGAATATTTCAATTAATTTAATATATATCTTATATTAATCTGTATCATATTATATAATTTTAATGACTTATAGCTAATCGAATAAAAACGTAAAGTGTTTAGCTTTGATGGTTTTTTTATTTATGCTTGACGATCAAGGAGTATTTTTCTTGCAATATATTTTACCTTTTGACTTATGGATATAAATTAATAAAATAATTAATTCGTTGGCGCCTTTATGTCCTCGTATCCAAAAGGCCGTGCTGATTTTATGGATTTACTTTGTAGTCTATATTTCAATAGCCAATTTAATGTTTAGTGAATGGCTACGATAGAGTTAAAAAAAATTAGGTAAACATGATCGTTTCTTATTGAGTGGTGTTTTTTTATTTTGAACATACAGTTTTAAAGAAGTAGTCTACCGTTTTTAAGCATCTAATTTAAGTTTTTGTAAACTTCACTTCTCCCCCAAATCCGCCTACTACAAGTAAGCGTTTTTTAATGTTAATACTATACATTTTTTATAAGTGATAAACGGTTAATGTTTTATCACAATAATGCAATATTATACAATATTTTGCCCTCTGTTATAGACAAATGTTACCCGTATAAAAATAATGCCATATATCTCCGAGGTTATCACATTTTAATTGCTACTGATTATTTATCTACACATAAGTCTTAACAACACAGAACTCATAAAAACCATCGTTGGTCTTTGACCTCTCTTGAAAACGTACCGTCGAAATTTCGTGACCGCATTTGTTGTTCCCAATAGGAATTTCACAACAAAACATTTATCAGTCTGTGACTAATTAGTAATTAGTACTTATATAAGTCGTCACCGTAAAATGTGTTGCCGCATAAATGTACAATACTTCCTATATTATAACATACTTATTGTGAATTAATTATGTACAACATATTAACTGTACGCGTAAAAAAAAACATTTTTGGAACTCTAATTTTGAAAATCTAAAGCAATTTTTAAATTTTTTAAAAAAAATGCAAAAGTAAACATTTAGAGTACTTATAATAGTTAGTACGGCATTCCTTTTGATGTCACATTTTAATTTTAATCAAAGGGGACAATTGAAGCTACATATTTTCAATCAAAAGCGTCTTAATAAAAAATATTCTTAACGAAGAGTGAAAACTCGTCCACAAACTCTTAAACAATTAGTTAATGACTAATATATAGTGGATAGTTATATTCTCAATAATTTGTTACGAATAATATAAGTAACAAACATATGTTAATATTATTTTTATTTATCAACACGGTCCTGGAAGTTTTTGTCAATGTTTGACACTATTGTGTGTAGTAATGTGAATTCCTTTTATTCCGTTAGGGGGACATGTGGGCGAACGTCATTCCTAATGATTGATGAAGTGAACTCCTAGTGGAATATAACGGAGTGGTGCAAATGGATAGGCTCGTGTATTTCCGATTATTAAGGAGCATGGGTAGTGCGTTCTCTGGAAAGTTATGCTAACAAAACGTTAGTAAAACTTTACGGTTTAAATTTTTTTTTTTTAATCGAGATTTTGCATGGTAATTTTTGTATACTTATACCATTAATGGGAACTAGTGTTACAAATTCCTAGTGAACTTTAAACATTATATTTTTGTAGTTTTACAACGCGTACCGAGGACCGACGCTTGCCGCAAAAGACTTACCACGCGTACGTACATACACTTGATGATCATAAATATGATGACAGCGTGGAGAGTGCAAACAATTTCGACAAGCCATGCACAAGTAAAGTACCACGGATCCAAGAGGGTATCGCCTAAGGTGATGACGCAAACGAAATACTGGAAAGCGCCGAGCAACAGCCAACCGGCCGGTACGCCGATCAGATAGGTCAACGGTACACCCACGTATTCCGCATACCAACCATTGTTGGCAGCTGGCTAAACAAGACCACCGTGTCATTTGTACAATATACACATAAAACATAGATTTGTACAGTCTTAACGAACAATTTCACGGGTAATGGTTGTTAATTACACTTACTTAACCTAGCCTATAGCAATCGGAAAAAGTAATCAACACATTTCTCAAAATAACTATTTGGTAGTATAAATATTACCGTTTTTATACTGAATTCTAGTTAATTGATTAATAAAATAATTAAATATTTAAAAAAACTCTGAACTACAAAAATGATTCTCTATAGCGTATCTATACGTATTTCGGCAGTAATGTTATCATCATCGGCGGATACAATAGCCTCTAAGCTCTGTTGTATGCGCTAATAAAAAATTATAACTTTAAAAGAAATAATAGAACCAATAATTTAAAAAGAAAAAACCCCAAAGCGTTTTTTTATTGTCGTTCTTAGTTCTCACCGGTCAAGCTTAAAATTGTAATGTAGTTTAATAATGCTAAAGTAATAATAACCAAACTTAAATGTTAAGTCAGTGAGAACACTGGTTATATTGGTTTGAAAACATGAAGCTGTTTTTATTGTTATTTATAAATTATAACTATGCGTGTAAAAAAATACTCTTGTGGAAGTACAATTAAGCAAACTATATACCTTTTAAACTAAAAAACATATCCAACATTTTAGTCATAGACTTTATATAGTTTCACATTAATATTAAAGTAACTATAAAAAACTATTAAACTCTATTTCGTTTGTACAATACAATTACTACACAATATAAGCCGTCTTCTTTCTAAATAAGCAACAGTTTGTACTAAGGTGTAGCAGGACTATACCTGGTGACTGGTTTGCTATATAAACTGCAGTCGAACTCGATACCTCTTAGACCTAAGTTCAACTCCTTGACCATACGCCTACTCACTGGAATACACATGCTCACAATATGTGTTGTTTAATCAAGGTCGAATTGCCATCCGATTAAAAAGGAGTTTTACTTTCAGTGGCTTTCAGAAACACATAGTTTAACCATAAACTAAAATATAAGTTGTTGTTTTTTCTTTACTGTCTGTACATAAGTTATAATCACCCCACCCATTAGTTAACAACAAATAGGGGAAAGGTACATTCATTTCTCAAAAATGTATTATTTGCTTACTTGTACGGAACCCCTATTTACGGTGACCGTTTTCAATAACACTTGATCTTCGGTGGCCGCTCGCTGAAGTCGAGGCAATGCCGGCGTTTCGTGTAGTAATAATTCGCCAGCTTCAACGTCTATCATTACAGGGTCGTCTTCTCGTTTAATCGAAGGGCTCCGACATCGATGGTCGACGACAACATCAACGTGCTGGTCCCCCGAAGGGTTAAGTGGGTCGAGTTCATTGAAATCCACGTTTCCGCTGGAACACTCAGACTAGAGTACAAAAATAGATAATCTACATAATTTTATATAAAAAAAATAACATAATTAAATTAAAAATATCGTTTGTCTCTCAGATTTATAGACCGAACCGGCTATCAGAAGCTCGCACGATAAGGTTGACTAGATTTATCCTCTAGTCGTATATGAACTAAATTTCAAACCGTAAAATGTGATGCCAGACAAGTAAAAAATAACATCAGCACAATATCATTAATCATATCCCCCAAAAAAAGTAAAATATTTTGGTGTAGTTTTAGGAAATAAAATTTATAATCATATTTAATACAATAGTTATTGTAAAATTTAATATTTGTTGACTAATGATATTTACTTATTGTGAATTTTGTGGATATTTATATTTGTTTCATCAACTCAATGTAAGACATATTTTTTTTTTTAAATAAAAATAGTCATTAATTTATAATAGCTAATGTAACGCTCTTAAAAAGGTCAAGAAAGAAAAATCAGAAGGTGCGTTATACTAGCCCAATTAAAGTGCATTTTTTAAAAATGATTTAATCGTTCATCCACACTCAATTTGTGTCACAATTTGTATTAAAGAAATCTTGAAAATTTTATTAAAAGGATTTATTGTTTTTCAATTACTTATACTTAGATTGAACCGTTTTTACCATCTACAGTTTCTGATCAAAACGTGCATTTCAAAGTGGCTTTATCACTTTTTTTTAAATTTTATTTAAATTTTTTATAGGAAACGGCACTAGGACAAAATATAAAGATAATTATAAACAAATTACTTTTAAGCTTAGAATAAGAGAATTTATCAAATCTAACAAAGCTAAAAAGTTTTTTTTTTTTGTAGACTTTTAAATATTATAATATTAGTCTTGACAGTCTTATCAGAAACATAATAAATATCCAACTTAAGATATAATAAAACTAAATTATTATCTGGTCAATTTCGGAAGAAAGCTAATACCTTAAGAAATACATAACCTTACGGTTACAGGACATATTTAAAAAAAAAGGAACTTGGGGGGAGAATTTCCTAGAATACACTAATGGAGCCTGAAGGACAGTTAAAGAATATACTATGATCGATATGACAAATGGGTTGGTCCATGCGTAGAGTGCAAAGCGGATAATCATTAAATATAGTTTGGACAAATAAGAAAACAGTAATTGATAACCAATTAAGACGGTAAAATAAAAATAATTTGCCGTCAGAATCATGGATAGAGCAGTATGGTATGAACTTATTAAACTATTTAAAGATATAGTCTGGGGCTGACCGCTGAGGTAGACTGTTATGTTATTATTTATTAATATAACTATAAAAGTATTTATTAAAAACTGAGTATCAACCTGGCATTGTTATCATTAAATTATTCTGATTTTGTTAGATAAATAAAATATATAAGTTACTATTTGACATTTAAACATTACTCTTTAAACTTATTTCTTAAAAGACTTTAAACTAATTATTAAATATAATTTTCGGTTATTTAATATAATGAAGAGTGTATTTTTATAAGATGCTTAGCTCACACAATTATTTCAGAGAAAAAAATACTGTAACATGAAATTTTTAAAACCTTGCAAGTGAAATACGTATAATATACTCGGACATACATTTGTACAAGTATATTATGATAGATATGTTTCTAATTGACGACATTTACATAACTTGGTTTTTTTAATGCCAACATTCTTGTAAAACATTTTTCCAGAAATGGTTCGCTGCCCTGGAGCTATGTGACATTACAAGACGAGCACATGCCTATTATACAACCATTATCGTTAAATAGTAATACATTGTATATTAAATACGGCAAATCGGAAACCTACAAATGTAAAGAATAAAAAGTAATAATAACTAGGTAGGTATAGTAATGATGAATTTAATTTATTATGCCTATAGACGATTCTAAAATTTAATGAGAGAAATTAAGTATAGCAATATGGCAATAATAAAAAAATCATTCGACCTTTGGACGGCAACGGTCACGCTGTGGCGTCTACCAGCTACACATTATATATGTATACCTAGAACTGTGAAATTAATTGTTAATAAATAGTACTACTCGTACCAGGTCATACCATACGCTATAATCGTCTGTTGGTTTTTAATATTATTCTTATATTTAATACTTTACTAGTGATTATCTTTATATATTACCGATGATCGTTGGGCCGGGTCTTCCATTCCAAAAACTGCTATGTATTTTGCAAATCAGACAGAAGCAACTAGCAAGACAGCGTCGATGACAATAACGAGACCGGAGTTATACAAATTAAGGTAGTTTGCCAAATTAACTTCACCACTGGAAAAAAAAATGTCAACGTGATCGATATTTCTATTAGATAAATGTGGACCGTGCGTTCAATCAAAATATGTTAGTAACAATGTAATGCCGTTGGACTTTTTTTTCTTCGGTTATTTATTATTTTTTTATCTAACACAAATAAATACAGAGAGTAATGATTTAATCTGCGTTCGTCGGTTTATCATAACGTAATAATAATATTGTAATTTAGGTACGTATAGCTGTTTACGCGTGTATGACACAAAACACTAAACGGTTCCATCGGTTTCAAATTTGTATTTTATGAAATTAGAGTTAGAGGGGAAGTTAAATGAAATTAAAACAAATAAATACCTATGTATTGCCCAAACGACAATGCCTGCGGCATGCCATACCGTATAGTAATAACAATTAGTAATGTTTTAAATATAACATAATATTATACCGACCCGTGGACACCAACCGATGGTACTATAAGACTTATAGAATGTTATGTTATAGTCTGCATAAGATAGCGCATTTTTCTATATACCAATAGTGTATCTTGACTTATTAAAAAACCAATATTTATAACGATAAAAAACTCAATTTTGTATTTAGATATGTACAACATCTAACTTATCAATTTTGACATATAAGTCTTTTGTCTATGGGCATAAACATTATCATTGTGTAGTGATCACATTGATATTAATTTAATAAAAGTCAACTAAATAATTTGAACAAACCTAAAATTCATTTTTTTACGGTTAAAGAGGAGAGGAAAATGAATTCATGAAATTTGCAAAAAAATACTTAAAGGATATCTCAAATACCATTAGTACTCGTATAAAGGATGCTTTGTTTAAAGTGGTTCATTCAATATCTCACAAGGGTTAATAAGTTGTTCAATTTTACTTTTCTGTAAAGTATTCATACAATATGATCTAATTTTTCACAAACTTTTATGTTTTTAACTCCCTCCCAAATTGGTTATTTTTACATCAACTTTTGAAATTTAAATGATAACGTATACATATTATTAACTTTTTAAGTAAAGAATAATTTACTGAAAATGTTGACTGGTCGATAACCATTGTGAGATCATGGGAGGAAGGGTGTTGAGTAGTACTATTTTTATCTGCATGCATTACTCAACTGCACTTCCCTTCCTGTCCTAACTTTTAAATTATAATAACTTTAAAAATATTTAAAATAAGGCGGTTGAAAACATAGAAGTTTGTGAAAAATTGAGATCACATTGCATAAAAATACTACGGAAAAAAATGCAATGAGTAATTAAACCCTATATCTTATTTAATCAATATCTTATTAAGTGGATCACTTTTAAAAATTACCATAATATATATATATATATATATATATATATATATAGCCTATTGGCAGTATGCCAATCAACGTAGAAAGGTAGTTAGTCTTTCAGGGGCGTATTTATGGGGGGGGGCTTCAGCCTCCCCCCCCCGAAATTTCAGGACATTTTTTTTAAGTCTGCCTAAGCAGCATGAGCTTATACCCTTTATCTATAGGATATAAATATTGTAGAAGTTCAGTATAGTCGTTTTAAAAATAATAAATTGCTATTTATGATTTTATTTTTATAACACAACGACTGATGTTGTTATTATTATATTTTGGGCGGCTGATTGACGGGCGCCAATTGTCTTCAGTCTTGTGGCAAAGCGTAGGGATTGGAGTGATCATCGTCATATTATTTCGGTTTATTTCGCGATACATGCAGTGTACACTACTATTGTAGAGCTATTATAAATAAATACAAACAATTAAACATCAGTAGTATATTTTATATTGGGGAAAAAATGTCAACGATAAAAAAAAAAGATTGCTATAGCCTGTATACATATATACCTACTTATATCAATAACAAATCGAACTAATCGCAGATGTTATAGAAATAATAGAATAATATTTATGTTATATACAAATAAAGCAAAAACGAAATGTTTTTTTTTGTTTTTTGTATGGTATGTTAAGAATTGGGGGGTTTGGCTTGCCAAGAAATATTATCGAATTCATAGTATATTTTACTAATAACGTGTGTATAAAGATATGTACCCAAAAGCATTATACACACACTGTGTAGCACATTCATTAAATCTTTGCTTATCAGATGCGTCTAAATCTCTAGATATTCGAAATGCTTTTGGTATAATAAGTGAATGTTGCTCATTTTTTAACTGTTCGGCAAAACGAACTACAGTCCTTAAAAATAAAATACTAGAAATTAAACCAAATTCACAATCCTCTAAATTAAAATCTTTATGTGAAACTCGATGGGTATTACGCCATGAAGCAGTTATGCTTTTTAAAGAATTTTTAGAACCCATTCTTGCTGCATCAGAACAACTGCAGAATGAATGTTCTGGAACGGATTCTTCAATAAGGACTAATAGTCTTTTACATTGTATTTGTAATTTTAATTTTTTAATATCTGTTTGCGTATCTAGTAAATTATTAAGTTATACTTATAATTTATCTAAATATTTACAAAGTAAAAATATCGATCTTTTTAACGCTCTTAAACAAGTTACCCAGGTGGTGTCTGTGTTAAATACCATAAGAGAAAACGTTGATTTAAAATTAAACGATATTTATAAAGACGCCCAAGATATTGCTATAAAGTTAAATGTTGAACCAAAAATACCTCGAACATGCAGCAATCAAAAAAATAGAAGCAATGTCCCGTTTAATAATATTGAAGATTTTTACAAAAAAACTATTTTTATACCGTATTTAGATGATTTAATAATGGCATTAAATAAAAGATTTTTACCTCATAATGAAACTATAATTTCATTACAATTTGTCTTACCTCGTATTATAGTTGAAAAACCATTTTTTAATTTAAAAAAAGCTGTCGAATTTTATAAAAGTGATTTACCTGGGCTAAACGACATTATAGAAGCAGAGGATGAAATTTGGCAGGCTAAATGGAAAAATATTGAAGAAAACTTAAGACCTGCAACTGCTATAGAAGCTCTAAGAGCCTGTGATCGTTTAATGTACCCTAACATATTTGAATTACTAAAAATACTAGCTATAATTCCAGTATCCACCGCTACGGCTGAACGCAGCTTTTCGACTATTAAAAGACTTAAAACATATTTAAGAAATACAACTTCTGAGTCCAGACTAGTAGGACTAGCACTTTTATCCATTCACCGATATATTGATGTAAATGATGATATGGTATTAGACAAATTTGCCAACAGTGGTAAAGAGAGAAATTTGAATTTAATATAATTTGTTTTACTATTATTATAATTAGTATTAATAAGAATTATAATTTCTATTTTATTATATAATATTTTATAAGACTTGAGATTTTGTAACTAATAATAATTAACCGTAGTGTGTCTTTTGCACTGTGTTTGTAATAGATAACTTATAGTAGTATTTGTGTATATTGTTAAAAAAATAACATTGATGTCGAAATACCTACAGATTACAACTATGACGACAGTCGTAAAACTTTGTCATCTTTTGTTGGTTTACATATTATTACTATAAAAAATATATATTGATACAAAATGTTGAAAATCTGATATTCTTGGGAGGTAATTCGGATGAAAAATATGTTACCCAACGTGGGAAGTAACTGGTATTTTTGCAACAATGTTGCGTTAGAAATATATCCTTTTAAATATTTTCCACTGGTAAGACAATCTTTATATGTAAAGGTTATCAATTAATATATTTAATGCTTGAGACGCATAATTGAATGCAGTATGGTTTATGGATTAAGAATTAAAAAGTCGCGTTCGGTTTAACTGCCACCCAAATCCCAATGGGGTTTGTCTCAAAACTATCGCCATATTAATGCATCCCTAGTAAATGGAGTCTTAAAAAGTGCAAAATCAAATAAAACAAATGATTGTATAATTATGTTAGACTTAGCAAAGATAATCGTCACAGTAAGACACCCATATACTGCGCACTTTAAAATATCTATTTATACCTATAACATATGCGCTGCTTGCTATTATATCGTCTAACTCAATTATGATAGAAATTAATAAGAAATATTTAAATGCAATGAGCTTACATAGGTAAATTTATAACTAATAGGGAAAATAGGTATATTTATAATAATTATATTTTAGAACAAAATATTTGAGAGTACAATTAGGATCACCTGTACAAATGGTACAAGATGTCAAAAATATTCAATACTAGTTCCAAACTAATTCATTTAGTCGTTTTAATTTCAAGCTGAAAAATGTTTAGGGCATTTTTTTTTTGACACCGTGACAAAGCTAAAGTATGAAATTTAATTTTGTCTAAAAGTCTACCTCCCTGATATTTTTCGCAAACATAGTTGTTAAATATATTTTATAGTTTTGTAACTAACCTGTTTGCAACAATTTAACGAACTCGCGTGATTTCCCTCAAATGTTATGTCGTTTGTCGAATTCGCGTCGATGGTGTGCATTTTTTATTTGGTATTTTTCCTTTTAGCGCCGAACCTAAGCGTTGTTACTTGAGCGACGTTTGTCTTATAATACTGCCAGATGAGATTTAATAATTATTGCATCATTAGATAATATCATCATCTAGGTTCTGCGAGTGTACACGGTCGTTACCGCTTCTTCTTTGTCACATGAAAACTTTTCAAAATAATAATACGGGTATAGTGTAATTAACGGCAACGCTATTATACAGAAATTATCGTTGCACACTAGTCACCTCTCATCCCCAGGTAGTCATCAAAATTATGTGCCTCTGAAATACTATCCGAATTTTACCAATGACCTTTATTTCACATATTACCATTTCCGACGTAGCTTTTTTTTTTAAGTTTATCCCTCATGATTAGTCTACTGTCTATTTAATACTCGATCTGATACAGCTTCATACTTATGGTCTGACATATATTCATCAATACCCACAGATAACAACTACACCGTCAAAAGTGCGCCCAAAGTGGTTACAGCATAAAATACTGTTATAATAAAACAAAATTATCAATACATTTCTGTTGTTTAAAAATGTATATTTTAAAGCATAATCATTTTATTCTTTCACTTTGCTGTGAAGTAACAACAGCTCTATAACTCTGAAACACACATTTCCCAAACGTTTATTAATCAAATAAAAAATAGCACTTATTCTTATTTTTGGTGGTGTAGGTATAATTAATGATATCGCATTATATCCACTTTGAGTGTAGTGTGTACGGTACCAATAACTAGGTGTCCCGCGTCAGTCATTGAGAAGAAAATATAAAAAATTGTATTGTACTTATCGTACAATAACAATTGTACAATACTTATTATATCATAGATTGTAGACAATCTATGATAATTGATAGCCCTACTCCCTAGATTTATGAGAGCTCTTCTATTTTATGCATTGAGTACATTTTCTTGTAAATAAAAGGTCTTTTTTTTTGGTAAAGATTTTTATGATTACAGGTATAGGTACTACATTAATTAATTAGGTTGCGTAAAGACTAGTAGAGTTGTAAATGTTTAAAAATCTTTGTTTCCTAAAGCGATAACGTGCAAACGTGAACACATAACCATCATAACGCACCTGTAAAATAAATAATTTATTACAATATATCATAACGATTCTTATATCACGTTAATTAGTAGTTAATTGTGTCGCACCGAATTGCCTATTAAACATTACCTAATTATTTATATCAGTGGATATAAAGTTATTAATAATAACAAAAATAGACAATTTGTTAAATTATACGTATGCTACTTAGCTACCTTGGAAGTACTATGAACGTTCACATTGACCTTGCAAACATGATGTGTAACTACATATTATAAATATATTAAATAAAAAATCCAGTACCAGGGCCAGGGAGCCGGGGGGTCACAAGTCTTTAGAAATTATTACAGTTAAAAGTTATAAACTCACTTTTAAATAAACGCCCTTATGTGAAACTGTTATGAAAGACAAATATCAATATAAATCATTCTTTACACAATACATGTTTTTAAAGTCATAAAACTTAATTTCTTTTGGGGGGAATTTTTCTCAAAAAAATAATTTTATTGCAGATTTTAGATAACTCTGTATACTTGATTTAGTCTACTTCAGACCTGAATTGCTAAAAAAGTGAAATAAAAGGAAAGTTTTTACCTACTTCTGGGGGAAAGTGTTAATGATATTTTTTGGCTTTTCACTGCATATTGGTAATGCTATATCTAAATTTGGAAGCAACTCGACTATTTTTCAAAAAGTTTTAGCATTTCGTTATTTTAAGTAAAAAATGTGTAAATGTTTTTTTCGTTTTTTTTTAATTTTAAATATTTAGGGGTATATTTTTTTATCTTCCACCCCAATGACGTACCTTTTAGGAACGACTGTTGATCTCTAGTCTGTACAAATTTAAAAATCGGTCCAGCTGTTTAAAAAGGTTCGCTCAAACACAAAAACTGTAAATAATTAAGGGAATGAAAAGCGGTCAGGTTTCAAGGAGTTGTATAGGCAATTCTTAAGAAAAAACGGGGTTTTAATAAATTTCGACCATGTCAATTTAGTTACAGATTAATTTTATAAGCTTCAAAGTATTATATATTTTTTTTTCAATGAGTAAACGCAATTTACTCACATATGTCATACTAAATAGTCGACATTTTGACAGGCGTTTTGGTCTTAAACGTCAAAAAATAAGACTGCTTTCAAATCCTTTAAACACATCATTGAAAAAACAATTCCTTCTTAACTCCACGTCGATGCTATTATATGATTAAGAGTAATGCTTGTTTTATTTTAAACGCTAAAACCGATAACAAAATATAAGGTAAACAAAATTGTAATACACACACATATTTTATGTGAGTACCTTATGTCTTCTGTGACATCATTATTTGATATATAAATTAAAATAAGAACTTCAATTTCTAATAAATTTAAAAAAATAAAAATAAATATGATACAATGAAAATAAATTCTAAGCCTACAAGTATTTAAGACTCGTATCAACCAGAAATTATTTGTATTGCATCATCATTTCGAAAGAACTATTTTTTACTATAATTTAATTATTAAAAAAAAAAAATGTTTTTATTTTTAAAAATGTTATTTTTAGGAACATAAATATTCTATGAAGATGTAGGAGCTTCGCCTCACAGCTCACTAAATGCATTACAACTTCCCACCGTAGAACATTTTTGGGCACACCACAGTAAATATGAAATGTAATAAAAAGTATCTTACTTTGACCCCAACATTTATTATATATCTACTATAGATAGTACGTAAGTAGTAAGTACCATTTACCAACCATATAGCACAACAACGACGCGAAATAGCTTGTTAAAAAACAAAAACATTGTAAGGATTTGACAGTTAATGTTATTGTTATTGGTTTGATGTCAACCATAATAGTTTATAATAGCTATCGTATTTCAGAATTGCGAGAATTCGCGCTTTAACGTCAACGTGGAAATATAAATGTTTTGATTTACAATCATGTATTTTTTTGAAGTGATCCATTCAACATCTCATATGGTTTAATCAGTTATTGCATGTTTTCCGTAGTATTTGTATACAATAAGATCTCAATTTTTCACAAACTCTTAAGATTTATTTAAATATAAATTAGTTATTTTTATATCAACTTTTGAAGCATAAATGGTAACGTATATATTTTATTAACTGTTTTAATTAATTATATTTAATAATGAATTATCTCCTTCTTTTTGGATATGAAACATAATTTTAAAAAGCACTACAAAATTTGACGTATAGACAGCACTTTTAGGTTAGCAATAAGTGCAAACTGTGCAAAAAAAATCAGCCATTACACCGAATGATGAGTATAGCTAATAAGGATCCATCAACTATACTATAATAAATATGTTGTACATATTATATAAGTTTACAATACTGTATTCATTTGGGAATGTCCCGTATTGCATAATTAATAAATAAAGAAATAAAATAAATGGTACTTTTAATTTTAAAATGTCGATTGTGTTTATAAAAAGTAGTAAATAGGAACAATTGTGTTTAAAATAATTAGGATTAGAGGAAAGGCGGAAGAAGTTGAGACAATAGCTATTGCTATGTTAATGTGAATGTAATAATTTACAGTCACTAAAAAGCGTTGACCAAGCTCATTTACAAATCTAAAACAAAAATGAGTACAAAGTGCAAACCAATCGCATACACAATTACTGTGTAATAAAATCACTTTAAAATAAACACTTAAGTCTGATACGAACTGTAGATAGTAAAACTATAAAAAATTATTGATAAAAACATTGTAAGCCAACAAAATGCATTTAAAATTTTATTTTAGTAGGGTAGTCTATAATTATTACATACCATTAGCACGTATCATATCAGCGGCCTAACCGACCGGACACCGACTCAATATCAACAAGGCGGAAGATGCATACCCTGCCACCCACTTAAATGACGCGATTGCATACCAATTTAAGAAAATGTTTACATTAAATTGGTAATATATAATATTAAATTGTTATTATTAAAATGTTATATTATTGGTCATTGGCGAATAGGATAAAATGTAAGTCTGGATTTTTCCGGTGGGCCCCTGTCGGTACTTAATTATGGGCTGTCGGTTAAAACACCTTATTTTGTGTTTTAAATTATATTTATTTAAGAGAACGCTACCCACCTGTAATTTGTCCACGAAAAACGGTTTTGCGGGGGACAAAATGTGAGGTCGGAATTTAACCATATAAAATGTGTACAATGGATAAATACTTAAGTACTTTAACTACGGGGTAGCATTTTTAGTTTTTTAATAACTTAAGTACAATCAAAATTATTCATTCATAAATATTCATTATTTTTTCCTTTTTTAATTTGCTTATAAAAAAATATTAAGTATATAGATATCAAACAAATTAAAACGCTATCCCATAGATAAAGTTCTTCTCTACACATTATGAAAATTTGATAAATCTACTGTTAATACTTTCCTCGCATGCTTGTCTCACGCAAAATAGTTTTGAAATTACTGTGATAGTCTGACAAAAAAATGGCAATCAATAAAAAATCCTCATTACTGTATTTTTAAGTATACTCTATAGTTCAAACTCTAAATTAAGATTTAGTGAACATTTTCCCATACTTTACTTCTTAGAAATGGGCGGTGTAGCGTTCTTTTAACAGTTCGAAAGTATTTATAAGTATTAAGCAGGTATATTTAAAAACTTTTAAAAAGTATTCTCGACAAGAGGGCTATATTAAACATTTTAATAGTTATATTATATTGTCTGCTTTAAAGAATAATGTTTAATTTATTTATTTATTAAAATCTAGTTGATGCCCCCAAGTCTTCAATTACTTGAATTTGGCCTTGTGTATGCAATGCAACTGCTAATCAGTTTGGTGGGGAAAACAATTGTAATTTATCCTATAGAAACGACTGTAATAGCAACCAATAAAGTATCCACATTAGTCATTACTGTATTAATAAACACCTATACAGTATAGTTATAGTATTTGTAATAACTCTAAATGAATTATTATTTATATTTATCAATATTAAAAAAAAAATTAACACATCAACTTAATGAATTAACTTACTGTATAAATATTACTCAACATAAAAAAATGAATCTAATTTACAATGGATAAACCAAAGCGACAGGCGTCCCTGTTCCGATTTTAAAACATAATTTTCCTCGATGATTTTGCAAATTGATTTAACAACTCTTTTAAATCAACATTTATTTCCCTGTGAACTGACATTAAAGCTAACCCATTGAGGTGAGTTGCACCAGTAGACTTCCTAAGATACGTTTTCAATCTTTTTATAGATGAAAATGTTCATTCTGGTGTCGCTGTTGACATAGGTATGGTAGCTAAGACTTGTAAAAGTTTCCATATGTAGGGAAATAAAAGGATGTTCCAATTTTCAACTCCTGCAATTGCTGTATTAGAGCGTGACTCTTCTTTAGGCCACTTTGATTTCCGTATTGAAAATTCAGCTTTGAATACAGTAGATTCTATCAAAATCAAGGAATAAAACTGTACACAGTCGTTTATTTCTTCATTAGTGGCATAATATATGCATTTACTTGGAATAATTTGTTGTAATGAACTTATTAAAGATTTGTGTTTCTGAAATCTTCAGAAAGCAGTGTTCTTATAATATATATTATGGTCAAGAAATGAAAAAAAAATATTAAGTTTGTAATACTCTTCAGAGCTATTGGTAGGCACATTATTACGGTGTGTTGGTCTTAAAGCAAAATGAGGCAAATCAATTTCGTCTTTATTTTAATTCAGCATAATTGCAGCAACAGAAAACATATCTGAAAAATGGTTTTTGTCATTTTCTCTTATTTCGTCTAAAACTACTAATACATTATCTACATGGTAATACATGCTTCGACTAAATCAGCATTAATTGTCTGTAACTGTTTACACAATGTCAACGTAAAGGAAAAATTTGGGGGGGGGGTTGAACTCGGAGTACCCCCTCTCTGAATACGGTCATGCTGTATAGTATGACAAAGTTAATTTTTGGCTCGAAAAAAATAAAATAAAATATGTACTGTACAACCGTTGCGTTTATAAACATTAATCGAGCACATATTATGTTAATCTTCACGTTGGTTGTAACATAATCACAGATTATATGAAAATATCATTTTTTTTTTACAATAACATAACTACAAACTTTCTATCCAAATTCTAATCGTTCACCAGCATGTGTAACAATTAGAAGTTTTTCATTTAAAATATACATTTTTTAAATCTGCATAATATATTTTATGGTAAAATCATTTATCAAATTAACAGGCATCGACGTTAATTATAATAAAAATTGGTAACAATTTTCTAATATTGATTATTGACTATCGGAGCGTGGTCGTGTATAGATTTATAGCTGTAGTTTGCTATCAGTCACCGGATGGGTGAATACTGAATGGTGATAATAGAATCCGGTAAAGTGATAACAATAGTTGATAACATCAATCCAAGTCAGAAGTCTAGACTCTAGTGTCCGTGAGTACGGATGCTACATAACATATTAACTAAATTGTTACTTGTAACTTGTTAAAATGTTATTAGTTGACACTTACGCTTAGTATACATACTCAGTATTACTGATTGCGTTTTATTATGTATATAGGATTATTTCTGGCGTTTATTTTTGTATTAAACATTATCAAATGTAACGAGTATCTACTTTCTAACGTAACAATTTGGGGTCCTGGTTTGAATCCTGATGTAATTTTACCAGCTCGATATTTTTATGTTCAATGCAACCAATTAAGGTAAAACTCTATCCTATTACATCAAGTCAACAGAAAACTAAATCGGTTGGTTTGTTTCACAATACTTGAAATATCACTAAAACTGCTCAGGCGTACCTGGATGATAAAATTGAACAATTATTACAGAATGCCCTCTTAGAAAGTGTACTAAATCAAATATAAATTGCTTTTGAAGACATTCGAGTTATTTATAAATTAATTTTAATTGCATTCATTAATAATAGAAATTGTGTTGAAATCATTTTAAAATTACCATTTACATATATTATTATAATTAATGTAGTTTTTAATTATGTTTCTTTTATATTATTTTTAGTTCTTATAATACCTATTTAAATTTTTTAGATTTAATGCCAACGACTTTAAAGTAGTAATAAGTGGTAAAACTAAAAATGGTAACAATTGTCGTATTTGGACAAACATTTTGGATCGAAAAGACACATCATTCATAGTTCGTTACAAATTGTATGAAGTTTGTTATGATTTGAATATATACATTCAATGTATTCAAACAAATGAAAAACTTGCCAATTATTTCTACAAAGGTTATTTTCTTCAATTTCAAATACTTAAACACCATTATTTGTATATAAAAGCGATAAAACAAAATGTATTTATTAACTGTAAACTAGTTTTTTAATCTATTACATTGACAGCAATAATTATATTAATAGATAACATTTTAAATGCATTTATAGGGCCAATATACCCAGATGAATGTGATTGTTCGCGAGTGCCAATTGACACTTGGCTATCAAATGCCCAATGCAGAACAAATATTGATCAAATCAACAATGATCTCAGTCAGTTTAAGGAAATAGATTTTAACAATATACTAGATAGAATGGTGTCGTTTTTCAATAAAAACCCTTATAGTATGAGTATCTGTCAATATGTTATAAAAAATAATTTGGTAAAAACTTACAAATAAAATAAACAAAAATGTTAAAACTTATAGGTATAGATTAAAAATTAACTCTTTGTTTTAATTTATACTTTTAGATATTTAGGAAATGTTATGGCGAATATACAGGCTTTAAAATGTTCATGGATAACTTATTACTTTCATTAAGTCGAAAGGTAATTGTGTATTAAATGATAATGAAATAATTTAAGTGTCTATATTCTATTTAGGTAATGAATATTAAATATCTGTAACAACTGTAAATAAGTGTATAAGTCGATTTCAGTGATTTTACAGGGGAGCGATTTTAAACTTTGACCAGCTGCCATAAATCCCAACATATCCAACAACTCTCTCTAGGTTTTCTTGTTGGTCCAACAAGTTAGACATTTATTCAAGGTGTGCTAGACGCCTTGTACATCCTAGCGAACTTAGTCAATTTTGACCAAATAAGACTAACACACTTATTCACAGTTGTTACAGATATATTATGTACAGTGTCTTATTTTAAATCATCTCCAATTCCCAGCTGTATATAGTATATTATATGTATGTGGTTCTAGTTATTATGTACAAAAGTATAATTATATCAAAAAATGATTCATTCAGGTTGACCTACCAGATTTAGAATTCTTTGTGAATCTGGGTGACTGGCCATTATCTACTAGCAAAAACAAATTTCCAATATTTTCGTGGTGCGGATCAAAATCTACAAGTGATATTGTAATGCCCACCTATGATATTACAGAATCTTCACTAGAAAATATGGGAAGGTAATGAATTCAAAAAAGTAATGGGGTATTTTAGTTGTTAAATATTAACAAAGTTGTTTTTAATTAATTTAATATATTAATTGTTAAAATTTTTTTTTTTTATGGCACCACAAAGAGTAAGCTTAGATATGTTGTCGGTTCAAAGCAACATTGATAAACAATGGTCAGAAAAAATTCCAAAGGCATTTTGGATGGGTCGAGACTCTAGCAAACAGCGATTAAGTTTGATTGAAATTAGTAAACAACATCCCGACCTGATCAATGCTTCAATAACAAATTTTTTTTTCTATAAAGATTTGAAAGAAAAGTACGGCCCTGGCAAAAAGCCCATATCTTTCTTTGCATTTTTTGATGTACGTATGTTTTTATATAATAATACATACACACATAAACAAAATGTTTACATATACTAGTTGTACGCAGTACGTATGTTGTTTTTTTTTCAGTATAAATATCAGTTAAACCTTGATGGGACTGTTGCAGCATATAGATTCCCATATTTGTTAGCTGGTAATTCTTTAGTTTTAAAACAGGAATCTGAATATTATGAGCATTTTTATAACGAACTAGAACCTTGGGTTCATTTTGTTCCTGTGAAAAGAAATTTAGAAAATCTAGTCGACCTAATTAAACAAATGGCTGCTGATGACACAAAAGCAAAAGAAATATCAAGAAATGGACAAAACTATGCTAGAAATAATCTAACACCTCAAAACATATTGTGTTATTACATGCTGCTGCTACAAGTAAATATATATATATATACACAAATGCATTGCTTCCCAAAAACAATCGTTAATAGTTATTTAATTCTTAAAAATGTATTCGAGGAATAATATAAGAAAAACTTTCAAGATTTTCCCCTCTCGATTTTATGTTAGACTAATACTTTTAACATAAGTATAACTTATCACTAACAATGGATCGTAAAAGTTTGTATAAGTGTACTATTTCATATTAATAATTTGTAATGTTAAAAAAAAACCCAAAAAGTAGAATTTTAGAATCAAGTATATTAACAAATATATTTTGTTAGTTTTTAATTTTTAAAAAACTAATTGATTTTCATTTACTCGTTGTTCAAAATAATATGGCTTCTTAATTTAATGATTGCAAATTTATACTGAATGTATTTCTTAATCTTCTTGTTACATAAGAAATTGCTATTTAAAAAAAAAATTGCAATATCGTGGTTAATTCTTTGTACTAGATTTAAGGATTAAAGAAAAGCACAAAGGCTTGGTGGGTAAGCAACAGTGGTTAGGACTTACTGTTATCGGTTTGACACTAGGAAAGGCTGTTTGCTAGGCGGGAAACTGTCCATTAAGAAGCCATCCCGAAAGTGAATTTGTCAAGAAATAATCACCTGTTGAACTAAAGTTTTTTTTTTATAGAATTATGGAAAATTGCTTACATCAAGAGTAGAAGTACGAGATGATATGGAAGCTGTAACGAGTCCAAAAATCAACAGCAAAGTTGTATGTGAATGTGAAAATTCAGAGAATCAGATCAAAACAAATTTAAAAACAGAGTTGTAAAAATAATTACCAATGTTAAAAGTTGCAAGTAGTTAAGTGTAGTTAATTATATTCTTGCCCAACATTACACTATTTATGTGACCTTATTGGTATTATAAATGAACTAATATTTTTCTAATAAAAATTTAAAAAGAACAGTTAATATTTGTTTTTATTTTAAGGATATGTCATATTACAAGTATCACATTTTTAATTGTATAGCTACATCGTATACTGTGTATTTTTTTATTGCTGTGGCATGTTAAGCTGATAAATGAACTCCCTTCACTAGTATTGTCGTCATAAGTGATACGAGTACGTAGAAATGAACACATACATACTGTGCCACAGGAATTTTTTAGAACCCTCAGTACTCACATAAATAACCACGTTACTTGAAAATCAGATTTTTATTTTATTTTTACCATCTTATTATTATTAACTTTATTAGAAATAAATGTATGTATTTGTGTAATTATGAAGCCTGGCGGCAAACAATTATGATACCATAAAGCTAATTTTTGATAAAAACCACGCTGTTTACAATTTTCTTGTGCAACTTTTCTTCCAAGATAACATTGAGGCACACTTTGCAAAGAAAATTATTATTTGGTAGCAGTTTTCAATTGTCAGTGACATAATTTAAACTAGGACATTTAATACTAAAAACACAAAATTTGAAATGTATAATTAGCAATATTAGGTTTTGATAACATCATTGAAACCATTATAACTAAATAAAAAAAATAATTATTTTTATACACATGTGTATAAAAATTTCCAGTTTACTTAAATTATACCGAAGGGCTAGCTGCGGTTATATTAGCTCTCCCAGAAACATTTTTATGTGGCTTCAACTGAAATAAACTTGTTTCATTTATCTCTGGTTCGTATCTTGGTTTTGTATTGTATGAAAAAGGTATGTATTCTATATTTCCGTTTGACCAACCCTACAAACAGAAATACATTATGGTGAGAAGTGTCAAAAGGACAAAAATTCCATGCTGTATTTACTATTGTTAATAAAGATCCTTCATTATAAACAGGTTGAAATGCTATAGCGGAAGGTTCTTCATCCAAACGCCCTTGTATAATGCACCTAAAATTAATTTTTAGCAATAATTATTATAAATACATAGTAATATTTGTTTGAAAATCGTATGACTTACAATGGAGTACATTCAACCGCAGATGCACTTATAATAGTCGTGAAGACAAGGACAGCACTACTATCTTTAAATGTAACAGCCAAACGCTTACCATTTTGATCCCAACACATATCCGAAGGTATACCACCAATGCTAAATTCCAACATAACCCATTTAAAATGCATACAGATGCAAACATTTTTAAAAAATTACATTAATAAATTCACATTTTTATTAAGAGCACAAATTTAAATTAGTTTTGAAAATACATTTTTAAAAAACTACAAAAATTATCTTACTCTTTATCGTTAATGCGTTCGTTTTTCAAGTCAATGACAGGCCAAGCTACTTTTTTGTAATTTGATGGTTCATTAAAAATATCTGATTTTCTAAAATCAATGGCATTTATGGTCGCACACGAGTTAGTGGCAAATAATAATACTGAGCTACAAGGTGACCAGCAGGCACATTGCACTCTAGATTTACTATTTACTGACCATTTGTCTGACGACCATTTATCTGTTGTCCAAATCCTAAACATAAATAGCAGTTGATGTTACAAAATATTAAATAAATGTTATTATAGACATTACCTAAATGATTCATTAGATGTACAAGAGAATAATTTAGTATTGTCTGGTGACCATTGTATAAAGTTTAATGTATCTGAACCAATTCTACGTAATGGTACACAGGTTTCTAATGGATAATTCCAAATATACATAGTTTTAGAATTCAGTGCAGTCGATATTAAAAGATCACCCTGTAAATAATTTAAGATTACAACTATTTATTCGTAGTCTTATTCGTATTCGACATGTAACATTTTGAGCAAAACATAAAATTTTTTAATATACTGTGTTATTTATGGATTATGTGAATGTAATATACCTTAAATGATCATTTTTAAAAAATTTTATTAGTCTAACCTGTTGATTGGTTCAGTGGATTTCCATTGCCTTTCGCACTAGTTAGATGGCCATTTCTCTCTCCAGACGGTTGCCCGCCCAGCTAGAGAAACGGCCAGCGACAGAGGTTCAAACCATGGCTAGAGCGAAGAAACTCTGTCGCGGTAACCCTCTCGGCCATGATGCCACGACAATAATCAATATGATTTAAAATATAATTTGCAAACGCAAAATTCCCATTATACTGTAGCCTCATTGAAAAAATTACTACAGCATCACTCGTAGAATAATGCAAAAAAGGCTAAGAATCTACGAGCAACACAGTTTTTCAGTAGAAATTTTAGAAAAACATTGATATATTTATTTTCTAGTTCTTTATTATCTAGTTATGAGATTGGGGCATAGGGAGCGAAGTTATTTTCCCAGGAGCACAAATATCCGAAATTCCCCACTACATTATTATAAGATTATAAACTAGTGTTGAAGAAAATTATTAACAAACCATTTTATTCCATGATAAACCTGTTATATATCTATGATCGTCTCTTACAAAATCACAAACATTACTGATAGTAGGCCTTGCGTGCAGTAAGCTAAATTCAATGTTCCAAATGAAAATTCCTCTTTCACATCCTACTGCTAAAGTACCCGTACTTAATGGTCTAAAAACAAAATCATTGTGACATATAAAGTAAGAAAAAAAGAAAAAAACAATTTGGCAACCTCCAAGCTAAAGACAAAATAGCTCGTTGTGACTTCTTTTTTATTTTTGCTTCTACACCCTTTTTATTGTAAATAAAAACATAGTCATGAGAAGATGCAATAGCTAGTTTAATTGTTTGAGGATGCCATGCCATACAGCGGATCATACTTGATGACCATAATTTTGTACGGCTTATATCAGATAATACCACACTTTCAGGACCCTAAAATAAAAAATGATAAATATAATGAATACATAAATATATATATATATATTACAATTTACATGACATATATTTAAGAAACAGTTATTACTTTTAAATTTGTTCTAGGTGATAAACATTTTATGATACATTTAATTGGATAAGTGATAGCTGATAAATTATTTGAATTTCTATTGATATACTTGTCCACTTCATCTAAAGCTACCCAAAAACCTTCGTTCATACTAAAATAAAATTGGTAATATTTGTATGTCATATACTTAATTGATAACTCTTATAATATATTATTTTAGTTTTTAATTTTTAATTTTAATAATTAAATTTGTAAAGTTATAATATGTTTGTTATATTTACCATTTGCTTATTAGGCTTTGAAACATAGTCGGCCTCGTACTAGGTAGAAATAAAGTTTCTGGAGCCCTATCCACTTGCAACTGAATAATAATATTCGGATAGTTGATGGCCTGGAAATCAAAAGCTACAAATTAATTTTATTCTGTCTAATTTATATAATTAAAACCTAGTAACTCAAATTAATTTGGATTTTATCAAATATTTACCAGCAACTCATTGTCATTGTCATATCACACACTATGACATAATATAATATTGTGAAATGTTCATACCTGAGGTTTTATTCTTTTCACCAAAAAACTAGTAGACATGTTGTTACCCACAATTGTACTTTGATCATGCAGCTCCGGGAAATCTTTTAACGAGCACATTTTCCAACTGTTTAAATGCTTAAATATTTTTTTTAATTTCTCCAAATAACTTATAACGAGATTTTTGATTTCGTATAAGCTATAAGCTATAAGTTTTAACTTTCAAGCCGCTGTAATGTAATACTCGGTACTCCTAGCTTTTTAAAATTTACATGCTTTAGTTCAATCAAAATTTCTATGATTATCGGTATCACGTAGATAACTATGACCGCCGACCGGTATAATATAATTTTAACGGACATGCATTGACGTAATTTGTTGATAACTGATAAAATGATAAGGAACAAAATAATAACACAGAATATAATATGATCTGTGGTAATAAATATTAAATAATAATTACTTATCTAACTAATTTCGTGAAGGGGATTGCATTAATTTATACTAATGAAATTGTACAATCGAATCAACAAAATAATATAAGGAAATGATACGGTTTTTAAATCTACGGTAGTTTTGAAAATATTATGACTTTTACGTAATATTTAGTACACCTACATAAATATTAACAAAAAAAGTCTAATTTTACAAATCTGCTTTATTAAAGGTATACAAATATCTTAAGACTGTTAGTATACATACCTTTGTCAAGTAAAAAAATGTTCATTATCATTCAACTTACCATCAGCTGAATAACAAAGAACAAAAAAGTCATAACAACAGAGCTTCGGAATCAAAGCAACAAAGAAAATTAGTACAATTTAAATTTAAAACTTACGGCCAGGCTCAATAACAACTGAAACATAAAAATAATTTTGTATAATATTAAAAAAAGCAGTGTACGATAATACAAATTTGACTAAGAAATTATGTTTTCTTAGGGAATTTCCACGCTATAGGCGAATTTTTTTGAAAAATTGCCTATACTTTACTCCTTAGAAATGGCCTGGGTATATTTCAAACAAAAAAAAAGTTTTATTAATAATAAAATGTGTTTATAAATGTTAATTGTGGAGCTAAGTATTAAGTTTATCGAAAAAGGATGCAATATTGTCTCCAAAATATTGTCATACGTTGTTGTTATAGGTATTTACTATTTTTGCTCTACAATCATCATGGATCGAGTAAAACGCATTTTGCGTAGGTATGTTTTAACGTTGGAAAATTGGGCGTATGACGTCTTCTTAAAATAATACAATTTTATTAGAGCACACACCATTTTTTTTAACCGAATTTGTTTGCGATTTCGAAAGATATTTGTTATTATATGTTTACATTCCAACAATCGTAGTAAACACGATATGCGCTGTGTATTTTGAAAGGTAAATAGTCGTTAGCTCTTGTACACGATTCATTTTTTTTTTTTAGTACTTTGTCTTGTTGTTAACTGAGTTATTATAGATCTTAAACATGCATTTCAGCAGCATCTTTTCCTTTTTTATCAGTTATGTTTTTCGTTATTTTGGCAATAACTACAGGTAATAAGCATAATAAAGAGGTTGAAAACAAAGTCGATAGTTATATCGTTGACTTCTTTAGTGTTTAACCTGTATATTTACTTTAACTTTAATCCGTAAATTTAAGTGTTGAATGTCGTTTTTAATGTGTTAAATAAATATTATGATTTCTTTTAAAAGAAAAAATATTTTAGCTTAACATCTAACGAATTCTTTAGGAAAAAAGAACTTAAATGAAATAATTAAATATTTAAATAAACCCTTAACCACAAAAATAAACCTGTATATCGTATACGTATTTCGGCAGCAATGTTACCATCATCAGCGCATACATTCAAAGTTAATATATCGACACTAAGGAAGTCAACGATATAATCTTCGAATTTGTTTTTAACTTCAAGATTATGCTTATTACCTAAAGTTAGTGCCAGAATGACCGATAACATTCTTGATAAAAAGGAAAAGATGATTCTGAAATACATGTTTAAGATCTGTAAAAATAACCCAGGTTAACAAAAAGATAAAGTACTAACAAAATTGAATAATTTACAAGTGCTATAGGGTTTTTACGCCCGAGACAAGTTTATTTGACAAATACTTAGATATTTCGAGAAAAAATGTCATAACTTTTTTGTGTATAAAATACTATACAGGGTGATCATTTTATCGTGAACCACTCAATATATAATAGGTTTAATAAGAAATAACCTTTTTTTTCATAATGTTTTGATGCAATTAAATCTGAATTTTTTAATTTTTAATTTCTTATAACCCTCTCCTGACTTAGTTTTTTTGATAGCAACTTTTAAACCTTAAATCCTAACTTTTAAACTAATAACTAAAAATAGTTATCGACCAGTCAAGATTATTAGTACATTATTCTTAAATCTTATATTAAAAAAAAAATGTGACAAAAAAATCATTTAAAAAAAGTAACAGTTAAGTGCAATAAAAAACGTGGTGCTTATAGTGCAAATGAGTATAAATTAATAATTAAAAAAAAATCTTAAAAACATTCACTAGAACAAAATTTTATTTGTCTAATCTTTGTGGGGCACTATATAGATCATATAGACCTGCAGAGTGCAGTGTTTACTAGGTGACGAACTAAAAAAAATCAAATCCCTTTCCCCTAGATGGGGCAGAACTTTACTTTATTTCCCTTTTTGAGCCTAGTTTTAGGACTCAATATGACAATATCTCAATATTAGACTGACGCTAGAGCTATAGTGTGGTTATTATATACAATTTTCTCAAAAATCTATAGTCAAGACTATTTTTATTTTACATAGAAAAAGAAAAAAATTTCACGTTGACCGTATTAAATTTCCAGGTGTTTCTTGCGTTGTGTACGAGCAATAATGTTCAATATTATCTATTTTCGATGTTAATACGTAAACGACTTAAATATGTATAATTAACGTATGAGCATGATTATAAAAACAAGTTTATGTAAGAATAAGTTCTTTATAATCATGCGTATGAGTAACAGTGCCATAAATTTAAAGTTTAGCCAATGTTGATACACAGAGTAGTTATCGGTGCATTTTTTAGGCCTGTCTATGTGTATGTTGTACAATGTACACTAGTGGCATCTAATAGCTTATATTTTATGTGAAGCAGTCTTAACATTAGAGTTTAGGTTACAAAAGCAGTTTTTCTACTATTTTACCCTTCTCTATAATATAATACCCGGCGTCACCGATTATGAACAGGACATAGGCTGTGGGCTGTGGCAGTCTAGTGTCTAGTAGACAGTATAAAGTCATAGTCTCTAGCTTACAACTTATTTTTTTTTAAATTTACGCTACCATTGATTTAATCGATGACAGTCACGATTTAAAATATTATTTTAAATCGTGATGACAGAATACAGACAACAGGTGCTGACGTTACGGATTCCGAATTTATCAGTTATCTCTAACGTTTTATATTATCGCGAAATGCAATTGTACCTATTGTACCTATTGTATCTATTATACGGTGCATTAATTAAATACAAACTGCATTTAATCAATGTACAGTGTAACCACTATGATGTTATGATGACAACAATAATTTAAGTTGTAGGTTAACCATTGGCTGTCGCCACTTGCCTTTCTGTTGATGGCAAATTGAAAATTCTCACTACACACTAAAATATAGGTACTTGTCTGTTAAATGACTCAAATTTTAAGTTGAATCTTGACAGTTGATTGACGACAGTTGACAGATAATTTTGACTATTTCTCAATTACACGTTATACCGACTAAGTCTATTTTCTTCCTGTGGCAGCGTTTTGTGTGTAAATTTGGTTTCAACTATGGAAACGATGACAACTACCGTAAGAACCACCTCTGGCCTTTACATTTATCGCTTTAAACAGTTTTCTGGTTTAGATTGCTCGTGTGCACTTGAACACCGGCCCTGCAATGAAGTTCACTCCAAAAGACAAATATTCGGACAACGATGAAGACAAAGAGCTACCAGCAGCTGAAAAGTCATTGTTACAAAAGATTGTACGTACAGGCATTGTCACTTCAAAACATGACATCGAAGTACAAAGGCGTGATCCAAATTCTCCCTTATACTCTGTGAAGTCTTTTGAACTTCTTAAATTGTAAGTTTTTAATATTATAAAATTTAGTTTTACATAAAATTTAGTGTTCCAGACACCCTTTTTGTCACCCCCCCCCCCCCATTAGTGTTACTATTACCTTGATTACAAAACTGAAATTTGCCCTACTTTATTGCTTCAAAACATATAGCTACTTTAACTGATTTAAAATGTGCAAGTTCACCAAGTAGGCACTTGGACCATTTAACAAAAATACAAATTTTTGTTTTATTTAGGCCTAGATAACAATACTTTATTTAACTTTATTTATTTATGTCTTATTTTTATTTTGGGTCATGGGTATTCTTTATTTTATGAAATTCTCACCTTTATATCTAATACTATTTTAAAGCTGGATAAGCCAAGTTTTGAATAGAATAGAACAATAATATAACTTATATGTTTGGATATAACATATTATAAAAATTACTGACTGTCCAAAGGAGACATGTCCAATTTTTGACAAAATTGAGTTATCACCTGATTTTATTTCTATTAAATATATGTCTCGTGTAAAAACAAATCTAATTCATCAAATTACAATGAAAATATCAGCTGCTGAAGTTATGTGTTTTGGGCAGAAATTGGACAAGTCTAGGGCAGACCCTTTCTATACTAAAATGTTCAATATTTGTCAAAGATTAAAATTGTGTTTTAATACATGTTAAATATTTAAATGTATTATAAGCTTTAGACTTTATCTTAAAAATAAATAATTAAATTTAATTAAACAGCTGTTTTTATTAATATCTCTGTTTTGAATGTAACTAAAATGGCTAAATGCAGTAAGGGGACATACATGTTTATTTGAAATAAAAAATATTTAGAGGATTTATAAAATAAAGATAATAAAGTAATTTATTAATTTTTACAGCTAGCTCATTTCCAATCTTGCTTAGACAAGATTTTTGCCTCTTGTAAAATTTAGTTTTATGGACATAGCCCTTTCTGCAATTAATGATTCATGTGTCGAAATAAATTGTATAACAGACCACCCTGATTTACATAAGGAATCCAAGTACTACTAAACTTAATAACTGCAACATTTGTTGAAGGATAATTGATAAATTTATGTTATATGAAATTTTTGATTACTTATGCTTAAAAAAAACCTTTTTAGTTTTTTATATTATGTTATATATAATGCACATGTTTTAATTATCTTGGTTTTTCAGGCATCCAAATTTGTTAAAAG